TGTGCAAGATGAGGCTCTCTTGGAGGGACAAGACTCCGCAGGAACGTGCCGATGCCGAAGCGAGGAAGCAGGACAATCTCGCCAAGAAGGAGGCCAAGAAGGAGGGCGGCCTTCAGCTCAAGCAGGAGGCGAAGAGGCTCGTGGACGAGTACTCGGAGGGCGACCCGTGGATGGCATCGCCGGTCCAGCCGCACGAGCCCCCGCGCCCTCGTGCTCCGGGCGCCCGGCCGAAGTGGGCTCCGGGGACCAGCAGCGGCTCTGCGAGACCGCGCTCGATCGAGGAGGAGCGGGACTTCGTGATGAACCGCATGGGGGTGCTCGAGCCGTCGCAGATCCCGGAGAGCGCGCAGCCGACCGCGGTCAAGAGCCCGCCGCTGATGAGGCCTCCGGTTCCGCCGCAGTTGTCCAACTCAGCTCCGCCGGTGCCGAGCATCAACACCAGGCAGCTCCACGCGAATCAGATGAAAACGCTGCTCGACCAGATGCACGTGATGGCGGAGCAGCTGGACTCGGTTCAACAAGATCTTCAGGCTGCCCCACAGCGTGCTACCCTGTCGGATCAGGAGGTGCTCAGCCTGGCGCGCAGGATCCGGGAGGCCGACAGGATCGCGATGCTGGCCGAGGAGGAGCAGGTAGAGCACGATGCGGAGGACAACCCAATCTTTCGGCCGCCGGCATAGGCTCCACAAGTACCTGGACGACGGTTGAGGCATGGCCAGAAGTAGAGCAGTGCCGAGCGCTGCGGACGCTCGACCGAGGATCGGACGTTAATCAGCTCGTGCTTCGGGACCTTGCGGTCCAGTCAAGACGCGATCGGACGATCATCAGCCAGGAGCCGGCTGCGCCAGGATGCGGCAGAGGAATCTGGGATCGTCCGGAGGGAAAGTAGGTCACGCTGGATCATGCGGGATCTGAGCTAGGCTGGAAGGAACGCACTCTAAGCTCGCTCGATCGGTCAGCTTTCTTTGTCGGAGTCGCTCTAGTCAGGAGCGGCGGCCGGCCCCCTCGAGCTCTTGCGCCGCCTCGCGTCCACAGTCTGCGTGTGAGGACCGAGGGCACTGTGCTTCTCGATGCGCTCTGGAGGCATCTCTCGTACTCGGAGCTAGGCGAAGTTCTTAGCGATAGAAAGATGTCCGACTGCTCGATCGATCTCTGGACCTCTGGGGCAGAGCGTGAGGAGGTTGAGGAGAAGTAGGAGGGAGGCGGCGTCGGGGTCTTAGAGGGCCTTAGGAGGTCTGGGGCTTCGGAGAGCCTGGAGGAAGCCACGGCTTCAGACGGCCTTAGCGGGCAAGGCGCTCGGGGCCCTGGAGTCACGGTCTTAGCTTCGCACGATCCCCCCGGCTCTCAGACGGCCACCAGCTTTGAGACTAAGGGTGCGGGCCGCTACTACGCCGTGGAGGTCGACTCGTTCGTCGCTAGGGCGCTCGAGGGGAGTTTTGAGGAGACCCCCGACCCCGCGGTTCCCCGTGAAGTAGGGCAAGCAGCGCCGCAGGCGCTAGACGGCTCCGGAGTAGCCAAGAAGCACGCCTGGAGGCGGCGGGTCCTGCAGCAGGGCGAGGCCGAGCGGGGGGGCACTGTCATTTTAGAGGTTTTCTCTCCTCTTCGGGTGTCGGCCTTGCTTCAGAAGCGCGGGTATCGAGTCTCTCCGGCGGTTGACTCTCTCTCGGGGTGGGGCCTGGACTCGGATGAGGGGGTTCGAGAGCTCTGGAAAGTTATCGAGCGGGACCAGCCGATGTGCGTCTCGATGTCTCCGGTGTGCCGCGCCTTCAGCGCGGCGTTCGCCAGAAACTGGGACCGCGTGAGCAAGGCTGAGCGAGAGGAGTCCGAGCGAAAGGGGTTGAGGTTCTCAGCTCGCGCGAGGCAGGGACTCCGTCCTTGAGCATCCCCAGTCTGCGAGTTCCTGGGACCTGGAGTGCGTCAAGATAATCGCGAATTCGGAAGGCGTGGTCTCCCGGGTCCTGGACCAATGCATGTACGGCCTGTCGGTCGCTCCGGGGACGCTTTCGAAGAAGCCCACGCGATTTCTGGCGAGCCGAGCGGATCTCTTGGAGGAGTGTGGTAAGAGGTGCAGGGGGGAGCACGAGCATCTCCCTCTCGAGAGGAGTGCCAGGACTCGCCGGGCGGAGCGCTACCCTTCCAAGTTGGTGGCAGCCCAGGCGAACGGGATCGAGACGGCGCTGTGGAGTCGTGAGCCGCCGTTGCTCGAGTCCGCCAGCTTTCCTGCCGGAGGTCCAGAGTTTGATGGAAGTCCCGAGGCGGACGGCGCGGGGGCCCCGGGGTCCGATGACGAGGAGGTGGCCACGAAAACGGGCCCTCTCGGTCAGAAATGCGGCGCGGGCGCCGAGGTGGACGCCGGGATGCAGCAAGAGTTACACAAGCTGCATGTGAACCTCGGGCACCCGATGCTCGACGATTTCCTGTGGACTCTTCGCGTAGCAGGAGCTCGACCAGAGATTCTTCACTGGGCGAAGCACAAGTTTCACTGTGCGCACTGTGCCTCTCACCTGCGTCCCTACTGAAGGCGCCGGGCCCACCTTCCCTCGACCTATCGGTTCAACCGGTTGCTTTCGGTCGACCTGTTTTATCTGGACTTCCAGGGGGGAAGCTTGCCAGTGCTGTATATGGTGGACCACGGTACTAGTTACCAGCAGTGCTGCTTACTGTCGGACGACAATTTCGCGACGGTGTGGGCTGCACTCGCCCGGTGGTGGATCCGCCCATTTGGCCTTCCGGAGATGACACTGTCGGACGGCGGAGCCGAGTTCGGTGGTAGCTTCTCTCGGGGGTGCGAGAACGGGGGCATCTATCTCCAGGTAATTCCAGCCAGCTCCCCTCATTTTAACGGCAAGGGCGAGAGGCGCGGTGGCATTGTGAAGAATGCCGACTCTCGTGCGGCCTTGTCGGCTGCGCCCACGACTCGAGAGGAGGTGGATCTTCTTCTCTGCGAAGTCGTGTCCGGAAAGAACCGCGCGTATCATTGGGGCGGCTTCAGCCCGTGTCAGATGGTGTTTGGGGAAAATCCGCGGGCCCCGAGGCCCATGTTGAGCGACAGCGCCGTGGATGAGATGGGGGTCGAGGATCTCCGGGCGAGTGCGATCGATCAGGACACGGCCGCCGCTGCTTTCGCCCGGGCGCATCAGCTGAGGTCTGAGGCGCAGAGGGCTCTGGCTGCCCACGATGCGCGCGATCGCTTGGCGGAGGCATCGAAGGCACGGAAGCACGTGGACAAAGTGTACCAACCGGGGGAGCGGGTGTATGTCTGGAGGAGGCTCACGTCCGCGAACAGAAGCCACGACTTGCAGCGAGATCGCTGGACAGGTCCCGGGGCCGTCGTCTACCAGGCCAGGAGTGCAGTATGGGTTGCGTTGCGCCATCGTCTTTTGAAGTGCTCTGTTGAGCAGGTGAGGCCCGCGACGAGGCCGGAGGCCTTGGGTGCTGAGCTGCTCGACAATCCTCGGTTCGACCAGCTTCGGCAGGAACTGAGGAACCCAGGGAAGCGTGTTGGGGCCGTCGATGTCGAGTCGGAGGGGCCCCCTCCTCCGGAGGCCTGGGATGCTCCAGGGGGCTCCGGAGCTCCCGTGGCGGAGTCCAGGGGCCCGCAGGGCCCTCCCCTGGAGGTGCGAGCCGTTGCCCCGTCGATCGCGTCGACTGTCGTTCCTCAGGTCGGGTCGGCGACTGGCCCTGCCTCGTCGGAAGCCGAGGCTCCCGGGACCCCGCCCTTGCAAGAACCCCCCCCGTGGTCGTCACGATAGACGATAGACGACTCCGATGCGGAAGCTCAGGCGGCGCGTCCTCCGCGGAGGCCGGCGGAAGAAGCCCTCGAGGAGGCTCCTCCGTCTTCTCGGAGCCGGGGCATAGGGGCGAGGTACACTTCGGACGCGACGGCTCTTGAGCGAGAGAGGGCCGCGGTCCGATCCGAGTGGGGGTTGCAGCCTCCAGCGACGGCTGGTCTGCCTTCCTCGGGACTGACCCCGGCTGAGCAGCTGACCGGGTCAGGACGCGTCTCCCGGATGCTGGCTGAGCGCGAGGGCGTTGCTGCTGGACGTCCGGCGGCCGCGCCAGTTTTTGAGGCGGCAGAGGCTCGCCGCAGTCGGTCCCCCCCTCCAGCTGGGGCGCGAGGGGAGGCCGCCGTTTCTGCTTCTAGGGGCTGGCCCGAGCCAGTTTGGACGAGGAACCCGACCACTGGGGAGCCAGTCCTGGGACTGGCGAGCTTTGGGGACCTCGAGGGGGAAGAGGACCTTGAGCAGGACAGGGTTTTGTGCGAAGAACCGGCTTCGATGGGCATTACTTGCGACACGCTCTTCTCGGCTCTCGGTTCCGAGGAGAGCTCGTTTTATATGGATTTGCCGGACTGTTTTTTCAGGGCTCGTGGGGGCCCCGCCTGTTCCACGACGAGGGGCGGAGGTGCAGCGGAAGAATCTGACGCCTGAGCAGCGGTTAGAATTTGTGGCATCAGACGCCAAGGAGTGGACCGCGACGACGGCTTCCGGGGCAGTGCGAGTCCTCAGCTTGGAGGAATCGCGTCTCACGAGGCGCCGGCACCCGGATCGGATTTTGTCTTCTCGGATGGTTAGGAGGCTGAAGCCCTCCGAGGGGGTAGGCAGCGCGCCTGCCGCCAAGAGTCGCTGGCGCGTGCATGGCCACCAGGATCCGGACAGTGATACTTTGCAGGTTCATGCTCCCACTCCGCAGTCAGAATCCATAATGCTGGCGCTACAGGTGATCGCCTCCATGGGGTGGGCCCTGGGGATAGCAGACGCAAAGAACGCGTTCTGCCAGAGCGACCGTCTCGAGAGACCGAAGGGAGCTATCTATGTGGAGGCCTGCTCAGGCCTTGGGCTTCCGGGGGAAACCTTGATCGAGCTGATCGCGCCTGTCTGCGGGCTGAATGATGCCCCGCTGCTGCGGCGCCGGACCCTCGCGGAGCATTTGGGCGAAATCGGTTTTACTCGCTCGCTTTTGGAGCCATGCCCGTGGCTGCAGCGCTCGAGTTGCGGCAGGCTCCAGTCTCTCGTGCTGATAGAGGTCGACGACCTGATCGTTGCCGGAGATGCTAAGGTGCTGCCCGATTTGAAGCGCCGCCTCTTCGAGCGTTTGAAGTTCGGTAAGTGGGAGGAGGGAGAGGCAGACTATGCCGGAAGGCATATCAAGCAGCGGGGCGGGAAAATAACGGTGGATCAAGAGAAGTATGCGCGGGGGCAACTTTCGCCCATTGCTATCGCCAAGGAGCGTGCTTCTCAGGCCGAGAGCCCGCTCACGTCGTCTGAGATATCCTCGCACCGCACTACGGTGGTCCAAATCCAATGGTTTGCTCGAGAATCTCGCCCCGATGTGACCGGGAGCGCGTCTCTGCTGGCAGCAGCGCTCACAGATCCACAGATTTCTGATGCTCTTATGGCCAACAAGGTGGTTAAGTTTCTAAGGGCCTCGGCTTCTCAGTGCATCACGATTTGGGGACTTCCCTGAGGATCCTTTTCTGCCTTTCTTTTTGACTTCCTGATGTGCAAAAACGGCTTAGCATACTTATTTTCGAGAATTCGAAACCAGTAAAAGAAAGCTGGAACCTCGCATCACATGAACAAGTATTTCGGGAATCGGCAAAATAATTCGGAAAAAATGTTGCGCTAAACAAAAATATTCGTGAACCTGAGTAACACGAATTCGGACATGAATGTATATGTATACATGTGTGTATGTGTATGTATGTGTGTAAATATATACATATACATACATATATATATATATATACGTATATGTGTGTATAATTATAAACGTTTGTATTTACACACATACACATATATGCATATATAATGTATGATACGTACACATACACATATACATCTATGTATATAGATGTATATATACATACATACGTACATACATATATATATACGAATTATTATATATGCTTTTATAGACTATACATAAATACATGTATGTATACACATATGCCTAAGTAGGCCTGGTTATTTACGCGTACCTATGCACACTCATATCTATATATAAGCGTATATGTAGACGCACGTATGTACATATTATATACATACAACACATGTACGTACACGATCGTGCGCTATTTATGGCGATGCTGACGATGATGCCCACAGGAAGTCAATGTGATTACACGCGTCTGCCCATTATGTTGGGCGCGGAATGAATGCCCACTCCTCCTCCTCCTTCTTTCCTCATCCTCCTCCTCATCTTCCTCCTCTTCCCCTCATCCTGGTCCTCATTATCCTCCTCATCCTCTTTCTCCTCTCCCCCTCCACGCCCGCCTCGTCCTCCTCATTCTCCTCCTCCTCCAACTTCCTACTCTCGTTCCGGGCGTTCCTCTCTTGTCTCGCCTTCATCCCTCCCCCTCGCCCCCCTGCGTCCGTCCATCATGTTTTTCCCCGTTCTCTCTCCCTCGCCCTGCCGCGGTTTCAGCGGGGGGGGGCCGCCGCGCGGGCCCCGCGGGCCCGCGCCATGTGGTGGCTGGTGGTGGCCCTCATCGTCAGGCGCCGCCGCCGTCGCCGTCGTCGTCGACACCGTCGTCGTCCTCCTCGCTGTCGTCGCCGCCGCCGCCAACGCCGCCGCCGAAGCTTCCACCGACGTCGTTGCCCCTCTCAAGGAGGAGGAGGGGTGAGACAGCGGCGGTGGAGCATTCGGCTGCGTCTGCGGCGACATCGGCGTCGGTGGCGACGACGAGGCGGGGTGACGTCGGCGTCGTGGGCATGATGATGATGGTGACGGTAGTGATGATGATGATGATGAAGATGATGATGATGATACTGGTGGTGATGCTGAGGCTGGATATGATGATGATGATGCTGATTTCGTTGATGCTGATGATGGTGATTCTGATGATGATACGGAGGAGGATTGTAATGCTGCTGGTGTTGACGGTTGCGATAATGGTGATGATGGTCTTGCGGTTGATGTTGATGATGCTGGCGATGCTGACGATGATGATGATGATGATGAGGATTATGGTGATGGTGCTACTCCTGATGATGATGTTACTGAGTACGATGATGCTGATGAGGAGGAGGAGGATAGTGATGATAATGACGGCGGTGGTAATGATGATGAGGATGTTGCTGATGTTGCTGATGATGATGATGATGATGATGAGGGGAAAGGGCGATACTGATGATGGCGATGATGATGGGCGTTGCCGATGCAGATGGCGCGTTGAGGATGAGGAGACGAGGGGGGGGGGGGGGGGATGGAGATGATGGCGATGAGGCAGATAATGATGATAATATGATGATGGCGATGGTGATGACAATGATGGGGGCGATGCTGATGATGGTGATGATGATGATGGCGATGGCGATTATGGTGATGATGACGATGATGATGATGGTGATGATGACGATGGCGATGGCGATGGTGATGGTGGTGACGAGGCCCCCTAAGAGGCCCCCTAAGAGGCCCCCCCAAGATCCGCCACACGTCACCAGAGGCCCCCTAAGAGGCCCCAAAAGACCGCCAGCAGACGCCCAACAAACGCCAACACACAGCCAGGATGCTCCAAGAGGAACCCTCCAGACCACCAGGAGACCCAACCAAGAGGCCCCCAACGAGCGTAAACATGGCCAACAGGGACCCCTATATAGCCCTTCACGAGGACCAGAAGATAGCCCCATTAAGTTGTAAACAAACAAGTTTCCAACATGTCCAATCGAAAGATTCAGGATATCAGCATTAACGCTGATATCCTTAATCTTCCACCCTCCACTCCGACCCAAACGGCATAGCTGATGGTAGCCGGTTTGGCCCAAGCAAGATTGCGATCGATCATGGGGCGGACTAAGAACTGGCAGCCCACCTCCCCCGGCACTGAAGAGTATGCAATTCATGACGCCATGCGCCCATCATGGGGCCACATATGCGAGGAGTTCAACGGTGTGCACTATTCCAGCAGCGATTGCCGCGTCGGTGTTGATGTCGAGAACCTTATTCTATATAGGCCATTGCTCGAAGCGCTCATTCGATTAGATCCTCGAGGCGGCTATTTCAATGCTACACATGTGACGGCTGCGTTCAACAAGCTCCTCTCATTTAAGCATTTCATCGCCCATGCTCGGAGGATTTCTCGCTCGACAGGGATATCGTTTGACGCTCTGCCAGATTTGTTTCCTGTGAAGACGCGGGCGATGTTGTCCCACGTTCGCATCAAAGACAAAGAGCTGCGCAGGTCGCCCACAGCCCAGTCGAAGGCTCCACCAGACCTGCAGGCCATGCTGAGCGCCATCGCGAATCCGCCGAACCCGTCGCCATCTCCACAGCGGGCGGGCCAGTCAGCATCGGCTGCAGGGAAGAAGCCTTGCCCGTTCGTCCACTTCAGGAGCGACGTCGGGCCCTCGGCCGGCGCGGCGCAGGGCGACGTCGCCATCGAGACCAGCAGCGACGAGGGGGGGAAGCCGCTTTTCGCCCAGTTCGACGGCGAGAAGATCATCGTGATCATGTCGAATGGGCGGCCGCGGACGGCCAGCAAGTACAAGTGCGGCGACGGCGGCTTCCTGCTCGCGGAGTTCGACGGCCTCACTACGGAGGGCGGCTCGGAGTACGTCTACCACACGGAGCTCACGAACGCTCGGCTGCAAGCAGACGGTACGTTGCAGACGCCGCCCGAGCCTGTCGCGACGAAGGTCATGAAGGCCAAGGCGAAGGCGAAGGCCAAGGCGAAAGCTGCTTCCAAGAAGCGTCCAGCAGCAGCAGCGGCAGCACACTGTGTTGCAGCGAAACGCCCAGCCGCTCTCCCAGCAGTCGATGCCGAAGCTGATGATGAACCAGGAGAGGATGAGGCAGCTGAGGAGGGGGAGGAAGAGGACGGCGCAGTCGACCCAGCGTACGTCGAGGAGGCGGAGGAGGATGACGAGGAGGACGAGCAGCACGAGGCGGAGGAGGACGTTGTGCCGAAGGCGAAACCAGCGCTGTATTTCGGGAAGCCAGCGCTGCACGTCGGCAAGCCAGCGGGGGCTCAGGTCATCAGATTGTGTCATCGGCGTCGTCCATCCCCCCCCTCCTCGTCCTCTTCCTACCCTCCACCCTCCCCACTCTCCTTATGTGCAGTCAAGCAGCTGAAATAAGGAACGATATGAGTTCGGAGTGGTCTCGATGATCATTATTTTCCTCCAATGTTGTTATTTCTATTGGCATCATTGGGTACGAAAAGCGCTTTTAGTGATGCACCTGGGTTTCGTTCCTTATTTCGCGTTCCTTTTTTCAGCGGTCCGACTACGCAGTTCTCACCATCGCCCCCATTTTCGTGAAAGGTGATGCGCATCGACATCGGAAGTGGACACCAGGCGAATACGCATTCAAACTGGCCAACATCGCATATCTGGTTCCGGGCGAGTGGTTCCGGGGTGCCCACCGTGATGCGTTCCGTAATGAATTCTGGGATGGTCTTCACTTTGTCATTGGTTGGTGTTTAGATGTAGCTCGTTTGAATGCTTCTGTGAGGATCGGTTGTGCTTGTTCCTCGTCACGCCAGGGTGCAAGAAAACCAAGCAGATTCTAGAAGTACGCCCCGAGCTGATGAAGTCGTCCGTTGCGATGAGGACACGCGTGGAAACCATCTCTGAGAGATTGTCTGATCGTGTACTCGCCCGCTTCGGCCGTCGCATCGACCCTGATGCGATTCCGATCGAGGAGCGGTTGCTGCTAAATTAGTATTGCCCACAGTTTAAAAAAAGAATATAGGATGATGACTTGGTTTAATACTGTTTCCACACTCGTCGTGTTAGGCCCCATGCTTAATGATATGAGGTCGGTCTCATTGGTCCGAAGATAACTGTGCATCGCAGCATGGTGTTGGCCGCCGACATACATGACAGAAAAAATCGTCGTATGACCGATTTGTGCGTCAGTTCACGGGCCTGTTATGGGCCACCGACAGAAATGACAGACAACATTGTCATATGACATAATTTTGTGTCGGCTCGCGTGTCCTGTGTTGGCCGTCGACAGAAATGACAGAAAAAATAGTCATATGACAGATTTGTGCGTCAGCTTGCGCGTCTGTTGTTGGCCGCCAACAGAAATGGCAGAAACATTATGCATGTGGCAGATTTTTGCGTCAGCTCGCTGGTCTGGCGTTGGCCGCCGACCGAAATAACAGAAACATTGGTCATGTGACATATTTTTTGCGTCAGCTCGCGGGTCTGGTGTTGGCCGCCGACCGAAATGACAGAACCATGTGTCATATGACAGATGTTTGTGTCAGCTCGCATGGCGTTGTGGCATCATGCCGTGGGAAGGAGCTGGCCGCCGCGCGTGGTATGGCGAAGATCGAGCGAGACCATGATCGCGGCGAGCCCGACGCACACGCCGCCGCCGCCGCCGCCCTGGATGATGCACCGCCCGCCTGATGCCCAACCCAGCCCAGCCAAGCCCAGCCCAGCTCTCGAGGACGCACCGCCCAGCTGATAGATGGGCTGTGTGCACGGTGCTGCGATGTTCTGATTTTGTGAGATTTGTGATGTGCAGCTGCGCATGTCTGCAGTTTGTTTAACGCGTTTTTCACAGTCGTATGCGTTGTAGGCGCCCGATAATGCAGACGATGGTGATATGCATATATGAATGTATAATGGTGATGGTGATGATGACGATGACGCTGATGATGATGATGGTGATGGTGATGCTGATGATGATGATGGTGATGGTGATGGTGATGGCGATGGTACCTGTGACTATGGTGGTTGCGATGGTGATGATGATGGTGATGCTGATGATGATGATGGTACTGATGATGATGCTGATGGTTGTGATGATGGTGAGGACAACGATGGTGATAACGATGTTAGCGCAGACGATGCTGACTATAATGATGAGGATGATTATGGCAATGGTGATGAGGATCCGGACGGAGATGTTGAAACTGTTGCTGATGATGTTGTTGGTGATGATGATGATGATGGTGATGATGTGATCCGTTCGGGCAGCCTACTTGTTAGACAGCCATGTGGCATCAGTGTGCGCCAGTGTACGTGGCTCACGCTTGCAGTTGATAATGAATATCGCGCATCTTCCACTGCTCCTGATCGGACTTCACCCGACGGGTTCACATGTTTTTGTCGGCTGCTCGTCGCGTCGAGGCAGCCGCCGTCCGCCTGGTGTGGCCGAGTCCCAGGCCGCACGGGCGTGCTCAATGTTTCATGGTTCGCCTGGAATCAGGCAATACATTCCATGACTTCAGACATGGATTTGCTCGCTGCAGGTTCACATCATCATCTCCCTCATCTGCTCGCCATCAAGCAAAACATTCCAAATCGTCATCAATTTATTGGCTCTGTTCAGACTTACGACATCTACAGCCGCTCCCCCTGCTCGCCCTCACTCATCCAACTGTCGATCGCCAACCTCTGACACCATCTAAACCATCTCCCGTCATCATTATCCGCATAGGCTTTAGCCAGACATACCCACCTGCAGAATTCATCGGTTCAGCACCCCCTAGCACCATCTAATCGTCTTCAGCAGCCGCCAATCGCATCACCAGTTTGATATCATTGGTGTATGCCCCTCCAACCTCCTCAATGCAACGTCCCCCCTTTTCGTTCGTAACTTACTCAGACCTCCATGTTCCACCGTCCGCTCAACCTTGCTCGCACTCATCATCGCCCACTGTCACGGTGCATCCGCCTCTTGCCTCGCGCGAGGCGATCGGTGTCGACGCCGTTCATCCGAGTGTTGGGCCGCGCCGTGGAGGAGGTCGCCCCGTTTTGCTTTGTAGCGTCGCACGGGACTGGATGTAGATGTGAGATAACAGCACTCGTCCGAATGAGGGCGAGGGTGATGACGATGATGATGATCATGACGATGAGGTTGGTGCAGATGATGATGGTGGTGATGGCGAGTATGATGGTGGGTATGGTGATAGTGGTGGTGACGGTGATGATGATTGTGATGCTGATGATGAAGACGACGATGATAACGATCACGATGATGTCTATGCCTACGATGCTGACGATGCGGATGATGGTGGTGATGCGCATGTTGATGATCACGACGTCGGTGATGATGATGCTGATGCTGATGACGCTGATGGTGTCGTTGATGTTGATGGTGCTGTTGGTGGGGTGTGATAGGGACGATAACGGTGGTGGCGGTGGTGATAATGACGACGATGCCGATGGGGGCGATAGCGATAGCGATGACGATGACGATGATGATGTTGATGATGATGATGGTGGTGCTGATGATGATGATGGTGGTGATGATGATGTTGGTGATAGTGAGGATGCTGGTATGTACCATGACTTAATGTTCACCCATGCAGAATCATCGAGTCGTGCCCGCCCATGAACTGTCTCTCGGGTGTCAGAAGAGGATTCGGTGGGCGGACGGGGTCTGACGATGATGATGGGAGGGTGAAGCGGCAGCGGTTGTTGCCGCCGCAACGCCTGAAGGTCGCAGCCGTCCAGCGCGAGCGGGAGCTCGACTTCGTCGAGGTGTTCTCTGGGAGTGCTGGATTATATGCCGAAGCAGTTCGGCAAGGACTATCTGCTTGGCAGCGCTGGGATGGGACTGCCCGCCATCTGACAGAAAATTCTGTCGTGTGACAGATTTTTCTGTTATTCTGTCTGTCGCCCGATCGTATCCCCCGATGTGTACGTATGTGTGAATGTGCGCATGTCGTGCACACGTATGTCCACGCGGTTGCGCGTGCGTGTTTCGGTGTGTTGGTGCCCACATTCGTTCACCTTGTTGTTTGGGTCCGCCCTCGGCCGCGAAACTTGCCAAAACCGCTCCAGATACCCAAACCATAACGCCGTGATGTGACATCGCCCTCCCAATCGCCCCTTTGCTCACGTAAACGTGGCGGTGCCAGACCGCATGTGTTGAGCGCGTGTCGGCGCGTGCTCCTTCCCTTATCGGCACTTCGACTGGGCGGACAACCCCGCCCACGACATCTTGACGCCCGACGGATTCAAGATTTTGGAGACAGCACTTCTAACGGCCATGTGGCTGGATGCAACCAAACCTGTTATACCCCATGGGCCCCAGGACCGCGTCGGTAATATCCAGTGGGCCCCAGGACTGTGTCGGTAAACGTTGGTATTGTCAGTGTCGTGGGTTTCCTCCCAGGTGAAGGAACATGGGCTTGTCTGGTTTGCGCCAGAGTGTTCCACGTGGGGATATGCCAGCTCGAGCTGTACACAACGATCGTGCATTTGGAAGTGTGGCCAAACAAATTCTGCAAAACTGACGGCCAACCTAGCTGAGACACCGCCTCACGTTGAAGGTAATCTTTGTAACCCAGATGTGAGGTTTGCGAATATGATGGTTCGTAAGGTCAGTTTCCTCATACGTGTATTGGAACTACGTGGCGTGAGATGCGTACTCGAGAATCCGGGAAGGAGCCAGGGTTGCCCAACCAACGCATGCGCATACCCCCGAATTCAGAGATAAGATGGTAGTTTGAGGTTTTTGTTTTGGTGTTAGTTTGAGGTTTGATATTAGTTTGAGGTTTGATGTTAGTTTGAGGTTTGATCGACTGCGGGGGCGATTGGAGATGCCACGCCCATGCAATCGCCGCGCAAGGAGCAACATCTTCACGTTCCCCCCGTTGACCCGAACGCTGGTGGATTTCAACTACGTCTGCACGAGGACACATATGTGCAGGTGCACGGCATATGAACGCACTGCGCTAGCATGTTATGTAGTCACCCCGTGTCTCATCCTGATCGTGTATCTTCTCATGTACAGCAAGGTCGTGCGATCGTGCTCTCTCTCTGGTCCGCTTGTTCACCCTCGCGTCCCATCCCATTTATTCAATGACACCCCCATCTCGTAATGTGTTAGCGTTTCTTCAACGTTCACATCTGCCAATAGGTTCCGTGGTATTGGTCAATCGCCTGGAGATGTTCCAAAGAAGTTGATGATTTTCTGGTCGTCATGCTGGTGGCTGCTTGCTATTGGGCTTGTATGTGAATGTACGGAGCCACACAAGAAACTCATGGATGACAACGGCGACGGACTCAAAAAGGAGATGTACCACTCAGCTGCGTATCCAGTGCGGTTCTGTGCTCATATCATAAAATGTTTTATCCGATGCCGCTACATGAAGAAGCCCAATATTGCAGCATTGACATTGCCAGGGTGTGCGGGACGTTCTAAGGAGGTGTGAGGCCATAACACCCACTGCACGTGCTAATGCTTAGTTTTCGTGCAACACACACACACACGTCATCGGTACGCAGACCAAACTGACATAACACACTTGCAAGCTACACACGCACCTACGTAATAGCACGAATACACCTAAGCACAACACGCGTGCCGTATAACAGCAGTGGGTGTGGACCCCAAACAGTGCAATGCTGACGTGCTACAACGCAACCAATCCGATTGAACTCATGCTGTGTAACCTAAACTGCACGAACTAGAAATCGGCGTTACGTTGTGATGCGGTGAGATATATGGTGTGTTCTATAGCTAAGTCATCAGTGCATCAACTGTTTGGCGAATATGGGCAGTCACGCATCGCGAGAGGTACTTGAGCACCACGCAACAGATGCGAGCCATGCCTCTGGTATTGTGCTCAGTGGTGTGCCCTGATGGAATACCTACCGACCATGGTGAGCAGCGGAATATACCTCCGAAGAAGGCAGCAGGGTGTGCTAACGTACGCATGCCTCGATTTCATATGTATGACCTGCTTCCCTCCCTCCCCTCACACTGCCCGCTCCGAATTGGTGTATATGAGTATGTGTTGCTTCCGCTTCAGTCCGTGCATGTGGTGGGCGCTGCGCCTGAGAGTCCTCAAGATGATATGGTGGAGATAGCGGCAGTACAATTATCATTGGGCTGTACCCTTCCAGCTTGGTGGTATACTGCCGAGGCCCCCATCCCAACATTCATAAGTTGCCCCCCCCCCGCCCGTATCGCATTCCCGTGCAATCACGTCGCTCCCGAATCCAGATCGATTCCAGTCAGTTTCATCACACTGTACATTCTCTACTCGCTTGCATGCCCCGTGTGTCGACCAGAGGCCAAACCCTGGAAGGATAAGTTGGTGAAGACGCTGCGTGACAATGCTGGCCCGTATGGCTACAAACACACGCTCAAGAAGTGGATGGTCCCAGGCCCGAGTCGCGACCTGCTTGGTGATGATGACGATTCTGACGACGCACCATTGGTTCGAGCTCGTGACGACGGTGGTCACACATCTGATGCAAAATCCACTCCCAAAAAACGCAAGCATTCTATGGACGACGACTCGAACGGTGTGATCGTTCTGGATGATGGTGATGGTGGTGACAAAGTTGGAGCAGTGCCTGTCAATGAGCGTCCTACTGGTGTGTCGTGGCGGTGTCGTGGGTGCGCGACTGTATATACGATCGAGGACGACGTTTGCGAGGCGTGCATGATCGACTCCAGTGGCACCGCCATCGAGAGCCCATCACGCCATTATGCTATTATGATGCGCCCTGTGCTCGATCCACCACAGCGTGCACAGAGGACACGTATGTGTGGATAATGTTACCGCACCCCATCCCCTACTTCACCATATGCGTCACATTCACAAGTCAATATCAATTAGTCTTGACACCCCCATATCATATCATTCCACCTCGCCCTGTGCCCCCCCCCCCCCGTAGTCGCGAGGATTTTGGCGGGGGGTTCGGGATCGTCGGGAAGCGCTTCCTCCTCGGCTGCAACTCCCTCCACGGCGGTGCCATCAGCGGCAACTCCGTGGGCAACTACTCCAGAGAGGCGCCCTTCTGTATCCTATCCCACCCGTCGTCTCCCTACAAACCATCCCACACGTCGCCAGACGCCCCGCCGTTCCGCCGCCAGGCGCCGCGCCAACCCGTTCGTGAACTTCAGGCCGCCCGTCGACTACGACTACAACTCCGAGTCGGAGTAGGGCACTTGTGAGGTTGTGCGCCTCACTGCCCAGTTTTGCATGCGTCTGAGGTGTATTCTGGTGGTTCAGGGGGGCCACCCACCCGACCCCATCACCTACATATGTCACATATAGTGCATCTCACTCGTGGCCCGTGGGCCGCACGGGCCCCACATGTCACATCAGACTAACCGTCTGAAGTGTCACGCGCATAGCATCAGGGCCGTCAGGTCCCACAATACCCCCCCATGCACGAATGACAAGCCCCGAACATGATAGAAACGGTCGCCCCTGATATGTAGTCACCACCCTAGCCCCGCTACGCACGCATCGTACACACCATGTGCCAACCCAAACACACGGTGACGGAACAATGACGGAAAATGACAGAAAATGACGGAAACTATAAAACCCTATATATATATATAAAGAACCCACACACATGAGGTGACAGAAAAATGACGGAAAGTGACGGAAACCAGTAAAACCATATATATATATATATATATATATATATATAAATACCACATTTCTGTCATTTGATAATGCATATTAATCTAATAAAATATACACTTTACCTGTGAAAACACACTATACGGTACTAAATGACGGAAAAAATGACGGAAAAATGACGGAAACTGAGCATGCATTTTGGGCCCCAGATCGGTCGCGGGTTGACCATCCGATGCCCGAATGATTGCGTGGATGTGCCCGTGTGGCACCCATATGAGAGCACACACGACGGATTGCCGTGGTTGGGGGCTGGCGTTCGACGCAAGTGCTGCGCGCAACGCTTGGTTGCGTCGCGGGTGTAATTCATTGTGAGTTGCGTATGGTCATGCATGCGCCGTTAGAGCTATATTTGAGCTCAATCATCTCCCGATCGTTCTAATTGATTGTTGTGGGTACTCTGACTGGTTGGCCATCGGTGCTGGCACAAAAAGCAGGCATAACGGATCCATGCGATGCTGGCAGCACGAGTCTGACTCGATCAGTCCCCGTCTTCATATACCCGAGCCTTACACCCCATCCCAGAGGGCTCGAGCTAAATCAAGTGTTTCGTTTTCGGTTTGGTGTTTATTGCATTCGTTAGATGTCTTGGGCCCACAATTGTCATGAACTAGCTCCAAACCGAAAACTGTCCACAAACTCGCCAACACCCGATTTAGCTCGAGTCTTGCCCTCCCCCTCTCACACTTACTGGTTCGCCCTCTCCCCCAATGGGCCCTGTACCCTCGCCCATCTCCGCGCCGTCGGTTGACTCGGAGGCTCAAGTGCATATTCAGATTCGTGCGCATATCTGAGCCCCACGTGATCGTGTTTGGTTCACGTGCAGCGATGGCTCCCAAGGCATCGAAGCTGGCTGTCCTCCCAGGTGTCGGTGGCGCCCCCGTGGGCAAGGGTAGAGGCAAGTCGCAGGGCCGCGGCAGGGGCGGCAGGGGGGGCGGCAAGCCGAAGCAGCAGATTGATCATGAGCCGATCCCCGAGACCGCGAACGTTCCCAAACAAATCAAGGCCCTGATGGATTCGTGCGGCGGCGACGAGACGAAGCTCGATGCGATTCTGTCGAAAATGACATCTGTTGAGAAGAAGGGGCCGTTCTCTGCCATGCGTTACTTCCTGGCGTCGAACTCGCCGAGCCGCCTGCAAGAATACACCGACACTGCTCTTACAGACACCGAGAAGGTCCGAGTGATCACCCGTAACTCGCACGCACCACCGTACCCAATGTCTCGATGCACTCACACGCCAACCTGGACCAATGATCGCTGATGGTTGCTGTGCATTGTTCTGGGCGATCGTGGTCCTAGTTGGTGCGTGTGTGTGCATCGGCGTATACACATATACATATATGTGTGTACACATGGCCCCACTAGGTTCGCTGGCTGAAACGGTTCATTATGGACCCCAAGACAGGGGGTTGCGTTGGCAGGACCGATGGTTTGAACACCACATCCCCGATCGGGGTGCCCTAACGTTCCTTGAGACATCCGACCCCCCGCCACCATCCCCCCATCACCTATACACACAGTCGTCGGTGCCGTGCCCGTCCGATCCCATCGATTCCCTTCGCCAGGAGCAAGACTGAGATCAAGCGGACGAGGGAGGACGCGGTCATCGACGTATGGGTGACGCTCGACGTGTTGGGCGGCCCGCTCTACCTGAACAACAAGGATCATTGCGTTGCATTTTGCTTTCGGGGGACCGTGTGTAACGCACGTACTGGTGATCCCCGCACACGCACACACGAACACATAGGCATGCCATGTATATGTGTGCGTGTGCGTGCATATATATATATACACACATATATACATATAACCGTATTAACGAATAGTTCGATGTATACATACATGTGTAAACGGTGTATACATATATATATATGGTATATGTTGGCAACTCCGCTGGATAGATTGTGCCACACCGTCGGGAGCTACAGCGTTACCACTGCGAGTGATGCAGTCGATGTGCCGCTGTATATATAAAACCTATAGGAGCACGCGCTGGCGATGATCGCGGACCTGGAGTCGCGTCCCCACAAGCGTTCACGGATCGCTTGTTTTTGTTTGCTGTGTCCTCTTGAACGGGTGGTTGTTTGCTTGTCTTGATGACTTGCATACTTGCTCGGCGGTGTGTTGCGTCTTGTTTACATTGGTAATGTGCGCCACTCGTGACAATCATCCCCTTGATGATGAGTGCCACTCACCCGTTCTTGTATGTCAGTCATCCATGTCCACATATGCTGTCCCATATCCCTTATCGATTCCTCCTCGTCGGCATCTTCCTTCTCCGCCTAATCGTATCCCCCAGTCCCCCTCCATGTGTATGCTGTCCATCATCATCCACCCTTATTTCACCATTGTCTCTCCTCATCCTCATCATCCAACTCCTCAACATACTCCGCCTCCGCATCTTACACCTCATCCTCCCTCTCCCCCTCCTCGTCCTCCTCATCCTCCTCCTCCTCATCCTCCTCCTCATCCCCCTCCTCCTGGCCATCCTCCTCCGTTTAGGCATTATCATACAATTCCGTCTTCCCGTTTTGAAACACGGCTCTTCAGTGCCCTCAGAGATCTTGGCATTCTCGAATATCATTATGTATGCGACGGTGAGGGCAAGCTCATCGATTCCACCAGCCACTCTGCGTCGGTCGAGGTCGAAGCTAGCATGGAGGCAGATGATTATGAACGCGTTCAGAAGGACTGTTCGGTGATGAGGGAAAAATTATGTATGGGTGTGTATGGTTCGTGTGTCATATGTTATCGCCATGCTCGTGGACGTGCGTTCCCACGGCAGTTTCCATGATGATGGGTGGTTGATGTGTAAGACGTGTCGTACGTGGGCTCACTTAGCTCACGTGTGACACACGTTGCGGTGCGATGTGTTTCGCCCCATTCTATGCGATACCGAATGGTGTCGCTCGAGAGCGTGCCGCCTGGTGGCCTATAGGGTTTTCCTGTGTTGCGATGTTGTATGGTGTTCTGAGCGTATCGCCGAACACCATCTAACATCTGGCGGGTGGATGGTTTCTGGGCCGTGAGGTCTGTAGCTCTCGGGCGTCTCCAGTTCGGCCATCCCTTTGGGTGTCTGGTGGTATGGCGTGTCAATCGTCGCTCCGATTGCGCAGCGGCTGGCCCTTGAGTCTCGTAGATGGCCTCCCAGCAGGAGATGATGAAAGGTTTCGATGGCTGGAGTGCGGCTGCGTCGGGCTCGAGTTCGAGTGCCGCAGCAGGTGCTCTTGTCGACCTCGACCGCTCCGCGCCCATGAGCAAGGAGGAGAAGGCGGAGGCCAAGAAGAAGAGGGAGGCGGCCAAGAAGGCTGCCGAGCTGGAGAAGCGCCAGAACGAGGAGCAGGAGTTTCTCGACAAGATTGCGCACATGCCTGTGGCTGACCAGGAGAAGGAGAAGGCCAAGCGCGCCAACGACCAGGCGTTCGCCCAGGCCAAGAAAGAGTACGAGGCCAAGTACAACGAGGCGAAGACCAAGTCCACCAGCTTCCGCCACGTGTGCGAGGTGATGGTTCCCCAGACCATCGGGCTCCTGAACGAGAAGGGGTACCCCGACGCCACGGGCCAGTACCTGAAAGACGAGGCTGACAAGGCTCGACGGGTATACTGACGATGGAGGAGGAGGAGGAGAAGGAGGAGGAGTATGAAGATGAGGACTCAACTTGCACATATTCGACGCGGCTATGATATGTTCAGATATGAAGCTCAGGAGTTGGTGACCAGCATCCCTATATGTGCGTGATTTTGTTGGGTGAGTAGGGGCAGTGTAATATTACACTGCCCCTACTCGCCCAACCAAATCTCATTATACACCCTACTCACCCACCCATGGCGTGCACATTATACAATGTATACGTCATGCCGCATAGCCTGGTGTTAGACGAGCCGATATCCCAGCATTACAGTTGTGACATGCCGATATCTCAAAGGTCTTGGGCGCCGTCAAGGCGTTCATCGAGCAGACTCTGGTAGGACAGAAGCTCCAGGTCAGGGGCGCTGTGTAACCCCATCCGGACATGTTCTGTGATAATATGACAATTTGGCATCCATGCCGTAGTGTCATAGTAACACAATGCTATCCGATCGGATAGCACGTGCACCCCCCAATTCACCCACCCCGTATCCCCATTATCATTTATAGTTGGCCGTGTCCGCTGAATCGTCTCCGCCTTGCGTCTCCACTGTCGCTTGCCCAGGGTATCTCTACTGATGAGATCAAGGTCAAAACTACGGAGGTGGAGAAGGCGACGGACTGTCTCGTGAAGGTATTCAAGGATTTCGATTCGCGGGTCTGGAGCGATCTGAAGAAAATGTCTCACGGCTGTGCGATCACGTCGACCGCTGACCAGTGAGTATGAGCCATGCACGTGCAGCACTACTCAGACGCATCGAAGGGTGCATCTGATTTCACTGGCCGTTTACGGCTGCCACTTCCGACCAGCATGTATGCTGGTGTTTTGGGGTTCGTTGGGGATTGGTGATGTGCTTGATCATTTCGTTTGAAGCACGCCATGTCGCAATGGTGCTTTATCACCAGGCGTATGTCTAACCAGATCTGTCGTGCGGGGTTGTACCACAAAACACGTATTCAGCTGCGGTATTGCGTATCGCAACAATATTAACAATTACATGTCGGCGATCATTACTACTCGGGCGATGCGCAATACCGCAGCCGTCTGACAGCCATCACAACTAGCACAACATGTGTTAACGCAGCATGGTGCATGCTATTCAGGATACCACAGCATGCCGCATGATAGACACACGCATCAAACAATACAATGTGCGTACGGTGTGTTACATCGTTATTCTGACTGTGGATGGTGGAATCGGGTCTGTTGTTATGGGGGTGCGGATCTAAGATGAGACACACGATATACATCCAAGATTGGGGTTGCACACGCTGAGTGTTGGTCACAGTGGCTGTCGCCGCAGTTTTGGCTTTGTAGTGCGAGTCGCTGGCATCGGCACCTGCGCAGACACTTTGAGAAGTGCCATGCGATGCCTGGCCGCGGGGTGCGGCAGCGACACTTTGAGAAGCAGTCAACTGGTCAGTTGAGTTCGTGGATTCATCGCTTATGGTGCGGGGGGAAGATTAGCTCTCGGGAGGTTGGTCGTGGAGCCAGGGCAGGATTACACGACAGAAATACGTGCGAGCAGTTGGCGAGCTGGAAGCGCATCGCCAAGACGAAAACCAACGAGACCAACGCGCAGAGAGATCTGATGAGGAAGCTCGAGAAGGAGCGTTTTTGGGGGGGTCTTAAGCTGCGCGCTGGGGGGTGCCGTCTCGGTCGGGGATGACCAATCGTACGCCGCGGCTGGATTCGTCTACAATGCGTCTCTGCAATGCAAAACCGTCTCCAGAAAACAAATATGCCACAACCATATCAAGCACGCTTACCGTTGTGGGATCGTCGAACAGGTGCACAGACCACTGGCATAATAAGTTTTTTATTGTTCACAGAGATCCTTGGGACAGCGCTCATCAAGCCAGGGGATGAAGCACACTGGTCCAGCTACGATGCGAACCAGGAGCACGGGTAACAAACTCGTGCCACCCAACCCCTAAATCATTAGATTAATGCCTGCTGGTTCCCGACATGATCGGTCAGCTACATGTTTTCCAGCTCTCGCCCGCGCGCTTGCTCGCCTGCAGGAGGCGCTCCGCCCTCAAGTTTTTGAATGGGCCGAGCGCATCGGCATCAGCCACGCCGATACAGACGGCATGATCATGTGCGGCTTATGGGGGGACGGTGCCCCCTACCACACGCGTGACAGCCTGTGCATGTTCACCATCACAGCACTTACTGGCACGTGCCGTGCGGCAGATATAGAATGTGCCCAACCTGCGCCCACTACCCCCCCCCCCGACCCATTCCCGACCGCCCCAATAACACTACCCCGTCACATGATTGGGATCACATCGCGTTGTGACGTACACGTGTGTGTTAGAGGGAATCGTCCCCCAGGTGCCGCAAGCGTTACTGGGCGGTTTGTTTGAGCAAGCGGCACGTGTGTCAATGCGGCTGCGGAGGCAGGTGTACTTTCCGCGAGGTGAGTTTGCTTTCAAGTATGGTGACCATTTGCTCGCATTGAATCCCTCGTTTCCTACTAATCAATGTCTACGGTTGTGTGGCGACCTCCCAATCCTACATTTATGTGTGTATATACATACATATGTATATATGTCTCATCGGACTCGATATGGCACGATTCTTTGCGAGCAATGTTCGGCGTCACCCGAATTGCATAGGATAACGTTGCACGCCAAGATTGGCGAAGTGTTCCCAAGAAAGCAGCGTTGGTCTGGGAATCGGGCGGGTGCGGGACGTTGGCAGTCTATAGGTGCCGCGTTGTCTGTCTTGGGGCGCAACGCTGATCTGTGCGCGTGTCCCAGGTTTGGAAAGTTCTCGGATGGATGTGTCGATATTGGGTTACAGGGAGGTGGCCCCATAATCGACGCGATGGGGTACTGTTCGAGGGGCCCGAGTTCCGGGGTGATACACAGAGGGCTGCCAGATCAGGGCAGCGCATGCGAACGCGGGGTGGCATCATCGATTACAGAGGGGATTGGGCATGGTTCAAAGGTGTTTTCAACATTACAGGGTGGCGAGGAGGGCCTGGACAGACAAAGATATGCTACCGCTGTCCGTGCACGGTTGCAGGGTTGGGCGAGTTTGGCAACGATGCGAGGTGGCGACGTGGAGTGTACAGTGCCAAGCGTCACGTTGAACTGATGCGCTCTGGTGATGTGGTGGTCGACATTGGGCCGCTGCAGATTCCAGGATTTTCCTGGATATATTTGCGACCTGGCCTCATGCACGCGGGGTGCCTCGGCGTGACCCAGGAGACCTTGGGAAACGCGATGTGGGAGATTTTCGTAGAGTTGGGCGGTCGAGTTACGCAGCCGCGCAGGGTGTTGGGCAAACTCACATTTTCTCTATATACCCCCACCCACCACGCCCTGACCGTTAAGTATCACCCCACTCCCACTCCAGTCTTGCTCCGCATAATGAGCTCGATACCCTCTGCCTGTGTGTTATCGGCTCCTGTGCTGTTCCTGGTGGTACTCGCCCTATCGCCTTTGCTAGATATTTCCCCCCATGTGTCCCCACCACCCCGCCCCGATATTATAGATTGGTCGTCGCCGTGGCACCCCAGGTTGTGACCATCGTGCAGAATCTACTGGAGCTTGCATCCCACGCTCTTGGCACGCCGTGCCCGATTGGGAACCTAACGCGTGGGATGTTTCGTGTCAAGACTACGAAGGCACCTAAGATGAAAACTAAGGCTGCTGAAGGGCGGTATTTGGCCCCGATCCTCGATCATCTATTGCGCAGACTGGTGCCCTGCAATACTGATCATCAACGCACACGGTGCGTGTTGCACTGACTTAAACACCGCCCCCCCGCCCCCTCTGTCACACACATGCATATGCACAGCACTGTCACGCGCATACATATGCACAGCCATGTTTAGATCCGCAGATTGCGGCCAGTTGGTCGTTGTATTTGAATTCGCAGGCGCAGTTGTGTTCGTTACCTTGCACTGTGCTACAACGAGTGCAATTTCTGGGATCCCAGCGAGAGTCCCAAGAAGCTCGCATAATATGCGAGGCGCCACCTCATCCTACACAAGGAGCTTCGGAGTACACGGTTGGACAGTCTGTGTTGGATGCTCAAGCCGAAACACCACCTCTTCCTCGAGGTTGCAGAAGAATGCTCGCCTGGCAATCCCGCGGACTGCGAGGGTACATCATACGCCTACATACTATTCTGCACGAATCACAATTCTTATATCATAGTATAACGCTGCCACGGCTGATCTCCGCCCTACACACATTAAGCCATACATAGATATAGAATGGTACGTTCCATATCACCAACTCGTACGACATACGCGTGCGTTAACTTATCATCAGATATACGATCACGTGCACGCATCAGTTATATATATACAGAATACCAAACATGCGTATGTAATCATCTCAGAGTAGTTGGTTGGGTTGCTCTTCGTCAAAATTGCACACATGTCGTAACAACTCCATGATGTAACACATCTATCACATGACAGAAAATTCTGTCATTTGACGGGCACGTCTGTCATATGACAGAATTCTCTGTCATATTACATAATTTTCTGTCATATGACGGAAATTTCTGTTACGTAATTCTTTAATATATGTGTTATAGAAATAGAAAACGCTCACATTATGACAGAAAAATCTGTCATATAACAGAAAATGCTGTCATTTGACGGTTTGGTCGTATAGGGTTAACACATGCATTCTCATCGTTACAACCAGAGAAACTATACGGATCGACCGTTCTGTCATACGACAATTTGTTGATTTAACTTTCAGTAAATAGCACGAATAATATAACACACACACACCTGTTACATGTCAGAAAATTTTGTCATATGACAGAAAATTATGCCATATAACGGTTTACGTTTTGTGGTGCCGTAGAAACAACGCTAACAACATAGCATAACATTGAGATACAACATACACATTTGCTATGGGATGGTTTGTTCCGTAAGTAGTACACCGACACACCACCACTCCGATACACTGCACGCCATCTAACAAACAATCTTGGCATGCTACAGTCTCTTGATTATATCCACGTAAAAGCATCCGCCATATGACATTAGTATATGTTGAGACATCTGTATGTCATATTACATACAGGTTTGTTTAGTTCTTCTGGTGGTCTGCTGATGCGTGTCACGTCTTTAACTCGAGGACCACTGGGGGTATGCAGATGAATCATGCATCGGAGATGCAGCTGATCTCGCAGAAACGATTCATCCGTCCGTGATGCGGACAAAGCCCATGGACAAATATCGGTACACGTTCGCAGATGTGCGATCGGGAAAAGATTGTCTAGTCGTGCCACTGTTCTTTGCTCGCAGATTCCTATATCGAACTATGGTTCGTTCACCCTCCTTAGTTCATCCTTCAGACACGTCTGACTCACACTTTCAGGGGCCAGTCATCCGCATGCCACTCATTCACCGCACCACTTTCCTCATCTGCATCGTCTTCCCCGTCTGCGCGTCTTCCCACGTTGTTGGCGCTGTGATTGCATTTACCCATCGTTCCGGGCATTGCTTTGTAGACCGCCACTCGCATCATGTGTTGGCCACTCTTGGATTTCATTTCTATTTAATTACACGCAGTCTTGCGACATGTCCGCGCGCTGCCCCGAACTTCACCTAACACTCCCACGTGACCACGCGTTGCACTTACTTCCAGTGTTCACCAAACAGTGCCTGCTGTTAGAAATGCTTACACGTGTGACCTATATGTAAACAAATGTATCAATTATTGCCGTCGCCGCTTCGCATGCGCTGCATGGCCTCTGTGTGATAGGTGCGTCTGCCGAAGTTTCGCCGTGCTTGCGGTTGCGCAAGGTCGCTTGCGCCAGAGGCCCACCCGCGCGCAAGGTGGATCTGCCGAGGTCTTGCCACGTCGGCGCCTGTTTCCCCGCAACTGTCCCTCCCCGACCGATACGCGACATCATATACAATACATTTTCCACGGCACTACATGCACCACCACCCAATGTCGTCGCCCAACCACAGATGGTCTGGTGCATCACAAGACGACCCATACCATGACACACCATATGCCATGATTGTGCGCACGGATCATATACTCTCGCAGCAGTGGCATCTCGAACGTTTGCCTGGAAGACGATATCTCAGACCGACGCGCATCACTTTCATGCAGCATATATACACATATATAAATATATATCGGAGCATCACCATCTACGACTTCCACTACCACTACTACGACGACGACGACGACGACGACGACGACGACGACGACTACTACTACTACTACTACTAGTACTATTTTTTTACCACTACTACTACTATTACTACTACTACTACTGCTACAACTACTACTACGACTACTACTACTACTACTACTACGACTAACTGCGCTCCTGCTGCTGCTGCTGCTACTACTACTTCTATTACTACTACGACTACTACTATTACTAACTACTACTACTACTACTACGACCACTACTACCACTACTACTACTACTACTACTACTACTACTATCACTACTACTACTCCTACTACTACTACTACGACGACGACTAGTACTACCACCACCACCACCACTACTACTACTACTACTACTACTACTACTACTACGCCTACTACTCCTACTCCTACTACTACTACTACTACTACCACTACCACTACCACTACCACTACTACTACTACTACTACTACTACTATATTACTACTACTACTACTACTACTACTATTACTACGACTAGTACTATTACACAAAGATCACGCCCGCCTCAACGATAATACCTTACTTTGGTGTGCTTTTTCTGTACAACTCTACGCATATGTGATATCAACATTACGTCTTAGTATACACTCATCACATGTCATACATGGTACCACCAACTACGGCGAATTCTCACACCATACATCACATAACCATGTTACGCAATACGGTAATCACATCTGTCACAGCACACATTATTCATTGAACCATTTAATACCGAATCACTACGTACCAGATCGCATCTTTATTAAAACGTGGCGTTCTATTACATTAAGGCATACAATACCATAAACTCACATAATATACAATAACCGTGTACATATAAATTCATGTATATATTTTCACATATGTATATATAACATATGATATATAGTATATAATGAACTAACATACGTGATATGCCATAATATAGCATAAATCAACATAACATAACATATCATCGCGTGCGATGTATTCGGGAACCGGCCTTCTTATTCGGGGGCACGGTCGGGCGCGATCTAAAATATTCGGGAACCGGCTTTCTCATTCGGGAACGCGTTCTTCCATGCAAGGTAATTCTGGGAAGCCCTAAAAATAAGCATGGGCCGTGGAAAAATGCAGCACCGCAGCTTTTTAGCGGAACAGATCCTCTGGGTTGATCCGATCGCTGCCACGTTCCGGCTTGTTTTTGCAGCGGATGCTTCCATCCGCGAGAATAAGCGGGCTCGTGTGAGCTTGCTTGCTTGGCGCTCTCAGCGGCTGAAGCGAGTTGTCGCTAGCGCTAGCGCTATAGCGGCAGAGGCGCTTCCTGTATCTGCGGCGCTCGCAGAAGCGCAATGGTTGCAGATTATGTGGCGCGACGTTGTGTTCGGGGATGTCTCGAGACCGGATTGGACGGCTTCGCAGGGGCCCTTTTCGGTGGTGCTCTCCCGGGATTGTGAGATCGGAGACTCGGCCTCATCGTTGAGTGTTGTTGACGCTAAGAGTGTTTTCGACACGATGTCCAGGAATAGTGCCGGGTCTCGCGCCGATCGGCGCAATGCTATCGAGATGGCCGTAATACGTGACTCGCTCAGCGCGGTGGGGTCCACGCTGAGATGGCTCCCGCGCGGCATGATGCCGGCGGGCCCCATGGCGAAGGTGGATCCCGGTCGTGGCAACGCGGCGTTGCATGACGTTCTGACGCGTGCGACTTTGTGCCTCATAGATGAGGACGGCCACTGTAATGAGAGGGCCCTGAATGCGGCCTTGAAGTCACGATCCCGCGGAGCCTCGAGGAGGGCCCTTCAGAGTCGCGCTAAGGTGACCGACGTGTCGGGGCTTGCTAAGGTCTCAGAGGAGGATGAGGAGGAGGAGGAAGGAGAAAGAAGGCGCGAGGAGGAGAGAGACGAGGAGGAGCGAGGCGAGGAGCAGCGGCAGCAGCGGCGGGGCGGTGGCAGCGGCGGCGGGCGCGCGCCCGCCCCCCGGACCGCCCTCAGCATGTTCGAGGCCAGCGGACGGCGCCGCCGGCCGGGTCAGAGGAGAAGAGGAAGAGGAAGAAGAGGAGGAGGAGGATGAGGTGGCCCTTCTCGCCCTGGACGGACTGCGTATCTCTGTATAGGCCAATGCGGAGTTAGAGCCACGAGAGTTGGACCGGCTGTTTCCCATGTGTCCTAGTGGGCCCCGGATCGTGTCCTCCCGCCCCCCCCTTTGGCTCTTCCTCCGTAGCCTGTCGGCTTAGGCGCGAGTGCATTCTAGTTGGAGCGCCCCCCGTCCGCTCGAGATAAGATCGCCCTCTCCTCGCCTTGCGACCCTCCAGATCCATGTGTCCCCTCGTGCTGTGACATTCCTCCTCCTCCTCTTCCTCCTCCTCCTCCCCCTCCTCCCCCCCCTCCTCCTCCCCTTCCTCCTCCTCCTCCTCTCCCTCTCCTCTTCCCGATGTAGAGGGTGGTTTGGCCGGGCGCGTGTCGGGCGAATGGCAGGCGTTGGCGTTCTCGCCCTTTTCGCGCCCAGTGAACGCGGAGGCAGCAATATCGGAAGAGTCGGTCTTCCTAGCGCAGCTGCTGGCGCGGCAATTGCGCTCCTTTTCTTACCCCCTCCTCCTGCCCCACCCCCTCGCCCCTTCCCCGCCAAGACGCCTGGACAAGACATAGGAGATTTTGATACTGGTTGTCAGAGATCTGTCAATTTCGGAGCTTCCCTGCCCATCGCATTTCAGCGGGTTGCATCCATGGTCAGAAGCTGTGGCTATGTTGATGAAAGTGTTCCAGAGTAGCATGCCAGAGCTCTTCCACTGGTGCCCTGATTCCAACAACTCATCACATGATTGCTGGTTGCTTGGTTGATCATGTTACCTCTATTGAAGGTTTTGGAACTGCCTCTTCGCCTCCATGCTGTTTTCAAGCTTTTGTTGCAGGAGCCCATGCGCAGTGAACACTTCACCTTCAACCTGGATGTGTTCGACACAATGGCGAACTATTTCTCTCTGCGGCAGTTGCACCTTGCAGCCAGGGACATGTCCTCTGCGGTTATGTGTGCGATACCTGATTTCAGTCAGCGATATGTCGCTTGTGTAGTTATTGGTTGTGCTGGAACCACCTTGGAAGAGAATACCGACATTAGATACCAAATTTTCATGCCTGATCAAGTATCTGCTATGTACAGCCTGTTTCTTCTTGAGCATGTACTTGTGCTATCCGAGACTTCGTTCGCCGGGCTCTTAGCAGAGGGAAGCACAGAATGGGGAGGACACAAGGAGAAAGGGAATATTAAGGGGTTCGTCACGCTCTCATGTTACAGCTCGACTTGATTTTGGAGGCAGTTGCCCGCCTCCCTCTCTCACGAAATTCGGCGGAATGCAGCGAGCACAGTGGCACCCCATGTACGGCAGGTTGCAGCCGCGTTGACGCGGCGGCGACTTTGGAGCGGACGTTCACGGTTGAGCGCCGTAGGCCCAGACTCGGTGGACATCGAGCGATCTGCGGAATCGTAAAGCCGCGATTGCTCCAGGTTGACGGATCCACTCGGTGTAAGAAACCCACGCCAACGTCATCGTGGCATGATTTCGCCACAATTTCCATGGTATTCCGCAGTTTCCGCGTGTCCGCATCCGCTCATCCAGGGACCAGTGAGGTCCTCTTGAAGGCCCCGTGCGGGCGCACCGCGGCCGTCCCCCCTCCCCTCCGCTTCCCTCTTCCTCTTCACGGTTTTTCTTGTCTTCCTTGGCGTCAGGGCGACTCGACACGCTTGGAGGCCGTCAGCTGCGAATGGGAGGATGAGCGAGGAAGAGGGACTGTGACATGAGCTGTGCACGTGACCATGCTTCTGCTTCCTTATTATGACCGTTTTCGGCGTTTTTGTTTGTGTCTTGCCGTCCTGCCTCGACCTGGCCACGGAAGTCAGTTCGGCGTCTGTTCCGGCAGACACTATACAGTGAGCGGCTTGAATAAGGAACGTGTCTTTTACAAAAGGGGCTCGGTCGTTCCTTACGCTTGTATGCGTTATGTGTCGTTCCTTACGCGTCATGTATTGTATACGTATCGTTCCTAATGCGTTATTCCTTGGGATAAAAAAAACTTCGTTCCTTATCCATCGTCCCTAAGGTCAGGCCGATGACTGTGCAGGGGGTCCGGGTCGAGCACTTGGCAAGTGTGTTCTGGCAACCGCGCAGGCGGTGCTGACCGCGGGACCGCGTGCGATAGACAAATCCCAATCGTCGATCGATTGTGATCGTTTTTTGATTCATTGTTTTGCCGATCGGCGCGGGCCCCCTCCCTCTCCTCCCCCCCCTAGAGTAGATCTTGGCTGTTTTTGGCGCTTGTTTCGAGCAGGTGGAGTCCTTCCCCCAAGAGTCTGCACTCTTGCAAACAGTCGCACTAAGCAGAGGTCCAGAGTCAGACCCCCCACCCATCCCCCCCCCTTCCGCCCAATGTCGAAACGCCGAATAAAACAATGATCCCAGTGCGACCCTACCTAGGAGTTGGAGCCTTCAGGAAAGCAACATTAGTAGGAGCGGTAAACGCCGTCCTCCTCCTTCTCCTCATCGTCGTAGTTGTAGCAGTAGCAGTAGCGGTAGCAGTAGTAGTAGTAGTAGTAGTAGTAGTAGTAGTAGTAGTAGTAGTAGTAGTAGTAGTAGTAGTAGTAGTAGTAGCAGTAGTAGCAGTAGTAGCAGTAGTAGTAGTAGTACTGCTGCACGCTCTTGCGTGGCGCTGCGAGTCACGGAATTGAGGCTGAACGGCAACGCGGATGAAAGGCATTACGACGCGGTGTTGAACAAATACATGCACACACACATGCACACACAACTGCATCATTCCACATTGGTGTTATGTATATATACACATATTTGCATACATAGAAAGACATGTCGGACATGCAATAATACGTCGGGTTTCATGTCTCCCGGCCGGTGCTATGTGCGCAGACGGACAACATGCATGGGACATACGTTCGCACACACACACACACACATAAGTACATATATACATAGCAGCAGCAATAGTGGATGCTGTGCTGCGCTATGCTCTGCTATGCTATGCTATGCTATGCTATGCTGCGCAATGCTATGCTGGGCTAGGCTAGGCTAGGCTATGCTATGCTATGCTGCGCTATGCCATGCTGCGCTATGCTATGCTATGCTATGCTATGCTTTTGCTTTGCCTTCGCTTTCGCCTTCGCGCTTGCCTTTGCTTTTCCTTTTGCTTAGCACCCTGGGAGCGCAACTGGGGGAACCGCGCGTTTGCTTTTACCTTTGCTGTTGCTTTTGCTTGGCTCCCAGGGGACCGGGGGAACCGCCCGGGGCGCTTTACACTGCCCGGCCCATTTAAGCAAACAGAGTAAGAACCCTTCTAGGCAGAGCCTAGGTAGGGAAAAAACTACTGTTTCGGGGCTCTTCTTGCTACTCGAGGATATTAAGCCATTCGAGGAGGCGGAGACAAGCTCATGAAGATTGCAGGGCCGATGCAGTAATGTTGTAGTCCTTGTTCGGCATTTGCGGCGCGGCTCCGTGGGCTGTGGGGGGTGGCGCTGGGAGGCCACATCCAACAAAGGCTTCAGTGGATATTTTTATCCTGCATGTTCTTGTCGGTTTCTTGGGGCCTTTTGGGATGCCGTTTGTGGCGCCCTTGAGGCTTTCGGGGCTCTCTTTGGATTATGCTGGAGGACATTGATCGAAAGAGGGGTGGCCTGAATCTGCGCTGCCCTTCCGAATCACGAAACAGTGGCCCTCATGTTCCGGAAGCCAATCCGAAGCGAAACGACGAGACGTCAATGTCGAAGACGCCTACGGCGACTCACCGCCGCCCCCTGCCTTTTGAAATCACCTCTTGGGCCGTCTTGGCCCGTCTTGGGCGCCTATTTGACCGTCTTGGGGCGCGTTTTTGCTGTTTTAGGGCCCTCTACAAGGCTTCGTGGGCCGTCTTGGGGTGGTATTGGGGACCTCTTGGGCCGTCTTGGAGCGTCGGAGAAAAGAACATGCGAGAACGCCCAAATCCTTCAAACCCCCAGGACAATTCATGATCTTGGCCTCTTGGTAGGCCTCTTGCAGACCTCTTCGGTGTCTCGGAGGCCTCTTGGATCGTCTGCGGGCATCTTGAGCGTTGGAGCGATCGTTCGGAGACTCGGGGCCCTCTCCGACTGTCTTCGGGGCGTCTTGGGGCCCTCTTGGCCCGTCTTGGGGTCGTCTTGCGCCTGGAAAAGTTATGCAGGAAGCCGCGGGGGAGCCCAGAGGGCACGCGACAAGCCCCTGTAGATTTCGGAAACGTGGGTCCAGGCCCCTGAAAGACTCCTCAGGATCGATGATTGAAGCTCCAGGGATTAGGAAAAGGACCTGAGGACACGCCCACTCCGTGCCCAGCGGCACGGTGGCGGATCATTGGAACACCTTACGTGCTTGAATGTTGCTGTTCTATCGGGGGCATTCTGGGGATTCCTCAAAGCCACTTCGAGCCGTCTTGGGTTCGTTGATGTGCATCGGGGTCCTGCCTATACAAGTTGTAGTTGATGATACGTTTATCTGGGGCGTGTTCCATGATCTTTGTATCGATTTGCATACAGGTCGGATGGCCGAGCCTGATTTGTAGAATTCCTTGGGCTGGCCATGGATGGCGCGCTAAGGTCATGTGTGGCACGTTTTTTTCACCTACACTTGGTGCGTACTGTTTTGCTTGGGGTATTGACGTGGAGAGCAGTGCTTTGAATTACCTTGGTTCCGTACAGCTGTTCACTTTTGCATGGCCTTCTTTTGGAGTCGGTTACCCTGAAGTGGCGGGCGCTGATGAAGTTATTGTAGATGGATTTCAGGGTACGTTGGCGAAGTTGTCAGATGTTGGTGTGATGGTGTGTTGCCCGAAAAGCCCTTACGTCCAGAGCGACGCTGCGCCCAGCGCCAGCAATTACGAGATCATTTGTGTACAGGTGTCGCTGAGTGGAAGTACTCTCAGTGCGGCCAGTGTTGCTCAGCTTGAGCCCACGAGTAGTTCGATTTCTTCGTATACTAGTAGGGAGAGTGAGCGGAATTCACTTACAACCATAACGAGGCTCTCGCAGATTCCGCCATGCGCGTCTGTATTAGGCGACGCCGCTTCATTGCTCCACCATTAATTACGATAATGTGTAGTCTACGTTGCAGCAAGCTGGAGTCGTGCCAACCACAGAACGTGCGTGACATCAGCACATTCAAAGCTCAGCAACATCAGCATCGCTGTAATTCGTCGGCGTGCGAGGGGGGAGAAAGTGAGAAGGAGAAGGCATTCTCACAAAGCGGCGGGGATTCTCAGAAGCCCTCCGGTCTTCCGAGAGGTTTTCTGTGTCTTCGGGGGAGGCTCAGAAAATTTCTCGGAAGGCCGGGGGACTTCCGAGCCTTCTGAGAAGGCCCGCTCTCTCTCGTTTCTCACCCTCGTGCTCGCCGCCGAGGAATACTTTGGTAGTGTCGGCCACCAACCCGGGCTCCCATGTTTTCTCCTTCCAGCCTGCAGCCCCATCCCCTCTTTCACGCCTGCCCACCCGCCCTGTTCGCCCCGCCCCGCCAGGAGGGCCTCCCGCCGAAGCGTTAGTCGACGCCTGCCTGCCTCCTGGCATCCTCACCTGCTAAATTCGCTGAGCTGGAGGCCGCTTTGGGCTCGGGAGGGACTCGGGCTTTCGGACCGTTCCCTGGGCCTCTTTGGGCTCAGGACGGCTCGGGTGTTCGGGCCGTTCCTTCGCCTGGCAGCGCTCGGACGTGTGTATTTTTCTCCCCGGCGAGAACCCTCGAGAACCATCCTGGACCATCGAGCGAAGCAAGCACGCACGAAACCGAAACGAGCACGGGAATGGGACGTCCGAGCGACGGCAAGCAGAGGCCTCTTTGGGCTCCGGACGGCTCGGGTGCTCGGGCCGTGCCTCCGACTCCTGCCGTGGAACCGGCTTGGGGCCCGGGCCCGCCGTGGCCGGGAACGCCCCTTCGTGTTCCTCCTTTATGCGTTTCCTGCGGTTGCCTCTGGCATCGCTCGGACGTGTTTATGTTTGTTCTCGGCGAGGGCCCTCGAGGACCATCCTGGATCATTCGGCCAGGAAAGAAAGCCCCTTCGTTCCGCATTCTGCGTTTCCCGAGGTTGCCTCTGGCATCGCTCGGACGTGTGTATGTTTGTTCTCGGCGAGGGCCCTCGAGGACCATCCTGGATCATCTGGCGAAACAAAAAAACACGCACGACATCGAACAATGCACGAGGACTGGACGTCCGAGCGATGGCGGGTGATGCGTTTCCTACGGTTGCACGGTGACTCTCTCGCCCTCCCCCGACAGGTCTCGAATTCGGCCCTCGCGCGCTCCAGCAGGCCAGCCGCGGAGCCGCGCCTCGTCCTCCTCGCCACTCTCGTCGGCCGACCTCTGCGTGTCTCACCTCTCCGCCCCTTGCCTGCTCCCACTCACGTCGTGCTATCCTTCTATACCCCATCTGCAACTTCAGTGCCGACAGAAGACTGCCAGGGCAGCTGCGAGTGGAATAAGTAACTCACACACGGGCGTCGTCGCGTCTGCAGGTATGGCTTGTTGGTGTCGTGCCCAAGCTTACGGCTGGCGGATGTCATTGTGCGACCTCGGCGCGGTCATGTGCTATGTTGCAAGAGGGGAAAACGTCATCAAGTGCTCCATTGCCCAAGCTTCGGGAGGGACCTTGACAGTTGAGCAGGACGGCATGCCGCCACGCCGCCGATGAGCAACGTTGTCGGGAGGCATTGTGTTGCGACGCAGGGGCCGCGTAGGGGAGAACGAGAACCAGCGAGAGAGAGAGAGATAAATGGATAGAGAGAGAGTGCGAGAGAGAGAGAGAGGTTGAGAGAGCGAGAGAGCGGGAGAGGGAAGGACAAATGATGATATTGATGACAAGGAGGGCAAGGATGTGGTAAGGATGTCAAATACCGAGGGCAAGGATTTGATACGGATGCCAGATACTGGTAGACGATGGAAGTTTGTTCTTGAGGGGACAGATGCAGGGGACGCGTGACTGGACGCATGCTCATACGGCGAATTTGCGCACAGTGCAGACAGTCGGAGTTCATAGTGGTGAGTGATTGCCACGCTCTCTGCTAGGTGTGATTTTGTTTGCGCTGGTCCTCTTCAATGTCTTTAGTTTTGTCTCTCTTTCTCTCTCTCGTTCTCTCTCTCTCTCTCTCTCTCTCTCTTCCAATGTACATCTATGTGTTCACACATATGTATGTGTATATATATATATATATATATATATATATATATATATATATATATATATATATATATATAATATACACACGTGCCTCCCCACAGTTTCGGATGATGGGGGCGGCGGGGACGTCTGCAGTTTGCGAGGTTCTGAAGAAGGCCGCCGCAAACGTTTAACTTTACAATTGATACAACGGTCCCGCCGCAGGCGCCGTTTTTTCATTAAAGCAATGTGGGTGGGTCGCGGGGCGCGTCGCGGGTGGGTCGCGGCGGCTGGGTCGCGGGTCGGGTGGGTCTCGGGTGGGTCTCGGGTGGGTCGCGGGTGGGTCACGGGCGGGTCGCGGGGTGGTCGCGGGGGGGGGGGGGCGCGGGGGGGTCGCGGGGTGGGTCGCGGGTGTGTCGCGGACGGGGTCGCGGGGTGGACCACGCCAAACAGCAACAACAAACAACAACAAACAACAAGAACCTGCATCGCGGGATCCCACTTCAGCCACGCACCCAGGAACAGTGAATGACCGCTCGGCCCCCTCAATCTGATATCAATCTGCCTACCTATCTATCTATCTATCTATCTATCTATCTGTCTATCTACGTAGCACCCCGCAATTGCGGATAAGAGTGAGGGGGCGGGCGCGGGCGACGCGGGCGTCGCCCAGCCGGCGGACCTCGTGGCCCCCACCTTCCCTATCGATGGCGCTCTCCTCCTCCTCCTCCTCCTCCTCCTCCTCCTCCTCCTCCTCCTCCTCTCCTCGTCCTCGTCCTCATCGTCATCGTCATCCTCCTCCTCCACCTCTCCTCCTCCTCTCTTCTTCCTCGTCCTCCCTCTCTCCCCCTCGTCCTTTCACCATCGTCCTCCCATTGTCGTCCTCCCCCTCATCATCATCCATCATCATCATCATCATCATCATCATCATCATCATCATCATCATCATCATCATCATCATCATCATCATCATCATCCCCCTCCTCGTCCTCCTCCTCCCCCTCCTCCCCCTTCTCGTCCTCCTGCTCCTCCTCCTTTTCGTTCTCCACATTATCCTTACATCCTCTCTTTTTCCGCGTTCTCCTCGTCCCCTGTTTACTCCTCCTGCCCCCCTCCTTTCCCAAGATAACTGCAACGCAATCTTTTTTCCCACTTTATGCTCCCCGCCTTCTCTGATCAAGGCAACCCGCCAGGGCAGAGTTGCTGGACGGGTTGGTGTGGATGCGCGGGGCTTAAAGAGGTCCTTGCGGGCTCAGACGGCATGCAAAAATCCGCCGCCGCGCTTGTGCGGCATTGGTTTGTTCAGTGAACGTGGTTTCGGTCGCGGGTGGGTCGCGGGCTCTCCACCTCCACCTGGAAGGAATGCAAAAGCAGCCCGCCGCAGGCGCCAAAAAAACAATGATTTGTACACTGAACGTGGTTTGGGTCGCGGGTGGGCCGCGGGTTCTCCACCGGGAACGAATGCAAAAGTTGCCCGCCGCAGGCGCCGAAAAATGTGGTTTGTACCCTGAACGTGGTCGCGGGTGGGCAGCGGGCTCTCCACCTGAAACGAATGCAAAAGATGCCCGCCGCAGGCGCCGAAAAATGTGGTTTGTACCCTGAACGTGGTTTGGGTCGCGGGTTGGTCGCGAGTTGGTCACGGGGTGGGTCGCGGGCTCTCCACCTGGAAGGAATGCAAAAGAAGCCCGCCGCAGGCGCCGAAAATGGTGGTGGGTACCTTGAACGTGGTTTGGGTCGCGGGTGGGTCACGGGTGGGTCGCGGGGTGGGTCGCGGGTGGGTCGCGGGTGGGTCGCGGGTGGGTCGCGGGTGGGTCGCGGGTGGGTCGCGGGGGGGGTCGCGGGCGGGTCGCGGGGTGGGTCGCGGGTGGGTCGCGGGGTTGGTCGCGGGGTGGGTCGCGGGGTGGGTCGCGGAGTGGGTCGCGGGTGGGTCGCTGGTGGGTCGCGGGTGGGTCGCGGGGTGGGTCGCGGGGTGGGTCGCGGGGTGGGTCGCGGGGCGGGTTGCGGGTGGGACGACGACAACAACCAACAACAAACAACAACAACAAACAACAACAACAACAACGAGAATCCGCACCGCGGAATTCCACTTCAGCCACGCACCCAGGGACAGTGAATGACCGTTCGGCCCCCTCACTCTGATCTACCTACCTACCTATCTATCTATCAATTTATCCATCTATCCATCCATCTATCTATCTATCTATCTATCTATCCCTGGGCACGAAGCGGAGGGGCCTGGGAGGGGGCCCTCGACGCGCCATGGGGCGACCGGGACGCCCTGGGCACGAGGCGGGGAGGCCTGAGAGGGGCCCTTGACGCTCCATTGGGGGGACCGGGCCGCCAGCGACGCCCCCAGACGGCCCAAGACAGCCCCAACACAGGTGAACAGGGCCGCGAGAGGCCACCAAGAGGCCTACAGTCGCGGAGCGATTGTTCTAACACTCCCAAAATTGCCTCCAGATGGCCCAAAAACTGTCCAACACGGCCCAAGGGGTCCCCAAGACCATTCCCCAAAGGGCCCAAGAAGCCAAAACCATTGATTCTCCTTAGCGTTCTGATGCATTTTCGCACTTTTGCCTGCTCGGCTCCCCCACGCTCCAAGACGGTCCAGGACACCCAGAAATCGTCCAAACAGGCTTCCGCGAGGACGCCGAGAGGGCCCAGGGCCGCTCCCAGACGGCCCAAGACAGCCCCAACACATATGAAAAGGGCTGCAAGAGGCCTCCAAGAGGCCCCGAAACGCGTAAAGATCGCTCGAACACGCCCAAAATGGCCTCCAGATGGCCCACAATGCTTCCAACACGGCCCAAGGGTTCACAAGAGCATGTCCAAAAAGGACCCCAAGGAGCCAATCATCCTGGCGAAGGACCCAACCATATGCAGTTGTGAATGCCGCAATTGTAAATACCATCTTCGCCCGCGCTCCCTATGTGGCCACGGCTTCCCGCCGGAGCCCGACATGCTCAGGGACACGTTCGTGGCCGTCTTCGCGGGCGCCGACGACGACAAGGACGGCGTCCTTCTCACCGAGGAGCAGAAGCAGGCGAGGGCCTTGAGAGCAATGAGGGAGGAGGTGGCGTTGCACGTCGAGAAGGCGGAGTACGACGCCCAGGCGCGGTTGTTGAAGCAGCACAACTATGGGGCCACGATCCTCGTGAGGGGTGTGCCGATATGGCCCGGGGCCGCCATGCGAACCCTGCCACTGGCGCCTTCGGTGGGGCTCCAGTTGGGCCACGATCCTCGTGAGGGGTGTGCCGACATGGCCCGAGGCCGCCATGCGAACCCTGCCACTGGCGCCTTCGGCGGAGGTCTCCACGGGGCCACGATCCTCGTGAGGGGTGTGCCGAAATGGCCCGAGGCCGCCGCGCGAACCCTGCCACTGGCGCCTTCGGCGGAGCGTTTCACGCGGCCACGATCTTCGTGAGGGGTGTGCCGACATGGCCCGAGGCCGCCATGCGAACCCTGCCAGTGGGGCCTTCGGTGGAGTTCCCTATGGGGCCACGATCCTCGTGAGGGGTGTGCCGAAATGGCCCGACGCCGCCGTGCGAACCCTGCCACTGGGGGCCTTCGGTGGAGTTCCCTATGGGGCCACGATCCTCGAGAGGGGTGCGCCGAAATGGCCCGAGGCCGCCATGCGAACCCTGCCTCTGGGGGCCTTCGGTGGAGCTCCCTATGGGGCCACGATCCTCGTGAGGTGTGTGCCGAAATGGCCCGAGGCCGCCATGCGAACCCTGCCTCTGGGGCCTTCGGTGGAGCTCTCCATGTGGCCACGATCCTCGTGAGGGGTGTGCCGAAATGGCCCGAGGCCGCTATGCGAACCCTGCCACTGGCGCGTTCGGTGGAGTTCCCTTTTGGGGCCACACGATCCTCGTGAGGAGTGTGCCGAAATTGCCCGAGGCCGCCGCGCGAACCCTGCCACTGGCGCCTTCGTGAAGCCCCCTTTTGGGGCCACGATCCTAGTGAGGGGTGTGCCGAAATGGCCCGAGGCCGCCATGCGAACCCTGCCACTGGAGCCTTCAGTGGAGCTCCCTATGGAGCCACGATCCTCGTGAGGGGTGTACCGAAATGGCCCGAGGCCGCCGTGCGAGCCCTGCCAGTGGGGCCTTCGGTGGAGCTCCCTATGGGGCTACGAAGCGCTGTGCTGGGTGGGTGAAACGCAGGGATGAAAGGGGGAGGGGGGAGGGGGCAGCGGGAGACGCGGGGCGCTGTCTCTTCAAAACGAGGACCCAACACCATAGGATGGTTGGGAAAAACATTGGTTCCATCACAGTTTTTGATGCGTTTTAGCGATTATGCCCGTTGCGCTTCCCGACGCTCCAAGGTGGTCCTGGACACCCACATATCGCCCCAACAGGCCCCCACGGAGACGCCGAGACGGCCCAGGGCCGCCCCCAGACGGCCCAAGACAGCTCCAACGCAGATGGAAAGGCCCATGTCGTGCGAAGTCGCCCAAGATGGCCTCCGGATGACCCCAAAAGGCTTCAACACGGCCCCAGTGGTCTCCAAGAGCAC